ATGGCAAGTAATTTGAGACGTGCTCTTTATGGATGGGATTGAATCTGAGGCAACCTGCATATCATTGTGGAAAGGGAGCTTCACGAGGACAGTGGTGTCACCCAAGCAGGAAAAGCCCAAAGGGAACATCAGGCCAGCCATAAAACAAACTTGCATAGGAAAAGGAATCAAATAAAAGGTATTAAAGAAGCCCCTTAGACAAAAGCCCAAATAATTAAGAAAACTGGGGAAACAAGAAAAGAAAACCCTTACAAACGCAAGACATGCCAAATCAGCAAAACAAACAGACAAAAGACACAAAATATATCACAAAGGAGACAGACAGGAGATTGCTACAAAACAAATATAAGAAACCATTAATCTAAAAGAGATTAGGATGAAACCGATAATACAATCAAACCACCCCGCAAAGTTTGCCTTCCGCACCCCGCGGAGTTTACCCTCCGGCGGAAATCAAGAACAACCCCTGACAGGATTTAAAACATTAAGAAATACAAACACAAGCACGCACACACAAAAGGAGAAACAAGGTATAAAAATCAGGGACTTACCATATAAAGGTAGCTAGCCCAGGAACGCAGACTTCTTGCTATCTCTTGCCTTCCTGAAAAATAAAAAGATCCAGCTTTCAAGCAGTTGTCCATATCCTTGCGCTGGAGCTCTCCCATCGGGAAAATTGAATCCTCAGAAGAAAGGCATTTTGACAGCCTTTCAACATCATCGTATTCAAAAACCATATAAATTTGAAAGTAAAGAAGCTCTTCTATTTATTTTAACTGGTAAATGAGGTCCATCCCTACCTCATATAGGAGAGATGCCTGTCTTTGGAGAGACATAGGCATAAGTAGATTCAATTACTGGAATGGAAATTTTTGATGAAAATGGTATGGAAGACAGTCCAAGAAATTCTGATGGCCCAGAAATTGGCAGTATTGTTGGTGAACATTGTTTGTGTTGGTACAGCTTCATGAATGGCTGGTTGCCTTCTAAGTTCATTAATAACATATGTTAATTTAGAAAACATAAATGATTTGTACCTGGGTTACTAACAGACTTCAGCATCCATCAATATCTTATGAAAGGCTGTAATTTAATAATAAAACAAATGTAAACTTAAACAAAAATAGAAGAATAGAAAGAAAAATAGAAGGTGGAGAAGAGAAAAAGGAAAGAAAAAGAATGTAAAGTAATAAAGAAAAATAAATCAATAAGTGATTTCCAACCTTCATCACAATGGCTATCAACAATTTTAGTAACTTGTCAACTTCTCTTAAAATACTCTCTTCTTTCCACATCCCATCTTTTTATTTTTAAATGAATCCATAAAGCATAATCATTTCAGTTTCGGTGTCGGCCAAAATCCATTCAGGCTAACAGAAATGACAACAAATCTTATATGACCCTTGATCAAGTAAACTAATTTTTATATTCTTTCCTATCAATCTTAAACTTTATTCCATTTAAATAATGTTGCAGAACTTGATTTTTTAAAATTATTTGTCCCTTCTCATGAGATTGTTCACAACTTTAACACACCTCTTTTGTAAATCTAATATAGGAAAATTATCCAGATCATTCTGTTGGTTTATTGTTTGTATATCTCTTATAATTATTAAATCAAACATGGTTTCTTTGATATGTCCAATAGAATGTCTTTTTTCCATGTCTTTCTTTACATTCAAGTGTAGCCTGTCATTTTTTAAATCCACTTCTAACTCAGTCTTGATCTTGGCAGGTAAAACATGTTCCTCTTCTATAACATCTTTTAGACACAGTCTACCAATACACTTTTAGACACACAGAGGTATATATGTCTCTGTTGACACTATAAATATTAACTTCAGAGTTAATATTTTCCAAAAATATCCTTTAATACAGCAGACCCCAGGTTTTTGGGTACCAGAACTGGTTCTGAGGAGAGAGGTTTTTTCACAGACCAGAGGGGGCATGATTTCACGTTCTGCCTGCATCCCATGGATGGGGTTTCTCTTGTTTCCAAGATTCTGTTGACCAGGTTTCTGGCATGCCATGGACCAGTGCTGGTCCATGGACCGGGGGTTTGAACCCCTGCTTTAATATGTCCAATGTTAGAATATTTTGCTCCATTCTGAAAATGAAATTTATATGTTCTCCCTTAATTGTAATATTTAGTTCCCTCTGGTGTCCAATTTTTAAAATATTATCTTAACATGCTTTTTTTTAAAAAAAAAAGAATTTTCCAATTAATAAATAATTAATTTACAATTAATTCTAAAATCTTATTTTAAATTTAACTAGACCCTTAGTCCATTTGCAACTTCCTAAAACCAAGGTTTTAATCACTTTTTTGCTGTTTATTCCAATAATTTAAATAAAAACTTAAACAGAGCTGCCAAATTTGATGACCCAAAAATTTCTAATAGCTGAAAAGCAGCTAACTAGCAATTTCTAAAAGCCATTAGAAAAAGAAGTATGCAAACTAAATGTCCTTTTGAAGATACCAAGCAGGGTTTGAACAATGTTCTCTTGTCTCTCAGAACTCTAAACCCTCTGGAGGCAACAGTCTTCCAGTCTCCTTGTGGGGGCAGCTCTCTGGAGTATATCTGGGTGATCTCAAATAACCTCATTGTCCAGAGAGGTTCGAAAAGCCAGCTTTTCATTCCTCACCAGTTTTCAACCTGAAATTTCTTCCTCCAGAAGTTAGTTACTTGTAGATTTTCTATTCTTGTATATCCAGTCTAACAAGGGATGTATGCTTGTTGCTCATTTTGCCATGGATAGATGTGAGTGGTTAATTCTGTTTTTTAATGCTTCTCTAAGTTATGAAACCACGTAGTTACTGAAGGTGAAAAAAAGCCCCCTCTCTATCAACAATTTGGGAATGAGTTGAAAACAGTTTTATTTATCCAGGCAGATTAATGTTTTAGTTTTTTAATGTTTTATATTTCTGGATTTACCATTTTTATTATACATTTTATGAGACATTCATAGCAATGGGTGGCATATCATTTCTGAATATAAATAAAGGAATAAAATTATCTTTTATGGTACAGGAACTTGTCGGTAATCCTTCCAACTGGACTTCCTGCTGGGGTTTATTGGGGGTGTCATTTCAGGACAAAAGGAAGGCAAAGCTTGCACAGGAATTCAAATCCATGTTGCTGCTAATGGCATGGCTCATTTTCAGATTAATTACCAAGCAAAGCATCCCTTCATTGAAATTCATGTTGAAGCCAGACTGTAATATATATTCTGATGAACATTTCTCCTCTTTGATTGGTTTCTGTTCTCTGTGTATTATAAAGCTGATTGTATACATGATTATTTATTACTTGTATAGGCTGATTTCATCATGACTCATGATGGTATACAATGCAAGACAATTTACAGCAATGCAATTCTAAACAATACCAAAAACATGTGGAATAAAATAATATAAACGTTAACAGACCAGTTGTCTTGCAAGGAATCCATTTCCATCCGTTTCTAATCCAAGACCTGGGAGAAGAGCCATATTTTTAAGGATTGTTTAAATATAGTCAGTGATGTCCATGTGAATATTTGATGGAGAGTATAATTTCAAAGAGAAATAGCAATAGAGATAGCACTTAAACTTATATACCACTTCACAGAGCTTTACAGCCCTCTCTCTAAGCGGTTTACAGAGTCAGCATATTGCCCCCAACAATCTGGGTCCTCATTTTACCAACCTCAGAAGGATGAGTCAACCTTTGGCCGGTGAGATTTGAACAGCCAAACAAGCAATGCAACAGAGAAGGTTTGCTTCCTGAGTCTTACCAGGTGACATTGACTGATTGTATGGGATAGACAGAAACTATAGAAGATAGATGGCCCGTCAAACAATTAGTCCCTATGTCATGTAGCGCTTTATAAATGATAACCAATACCTTGAAGTGCAACCTGAAGCTTACTAGTAACTGGTGCAGTTTACAAAACAGATTCGTTCCATGGACAGATTTTGGTATGCCCATAACCATCTGTACCACTGTATACTGGACCAGCTGCAATTTCTGACGTGGTCTCAAAGATGGCCATATGTAGAGTGCATTGTAATAGTCCAAAGGCAAGGCAAGCAAAGCCTGAGTGATTGTCCTCCCAGTCTAAATGGAGACACTAGTTGAATTATGCAAGGAAGAACTTCAAAGAACCACCCCCCCCCCCCCCCCCCCCGTGTGCCAGTGTGAAGGGAGAAATAAAACTTTTGGAATAAAATATTCTGCATTTCCAGTTCCCAGTAGTTCAAATACCCCAGGGCATTAGCCTTGTTGAAATTGAGATTGTTCCTCCCCATTCAGACCCACATAACCTTCAGTCACCGAGATAAGATCTTGATAGCATCACTTGTTCAGCCTATGGTTGAGATTTATCACTGAATATCAGTGTATTGATAATACCTGGCTCCAAATTAATGGATGGTCTCATCCAGCATCTCACATAGATACTAAAGGGAGGATCAAAAGCATAAGGTCCTGGAGCACCCCACATATCAGAGGTCTCTAGCTTGATTTCTCCTCCCTGACAATACAGGTTAGACAAAAAGAAAGGAGAATGACAACACTAGGTTTCCCATGCCTAATCCCTCTTGGTGGTTCAGAAGGATATGTTCTATGATATTGATACCTGCTGAAAGATTGAGGAAAACCAGGATAGTTCAAATAGTCCACCCTGGCTGCCTCACATATTACCAGCAAGCATAACCTGTGCCACTTAACATGCTGTGAAACCTGTCTGGAAGTTTATTCAAAAATAAATGCCATTTATAGCTCAATCATCTTCTTAATACTGTTAAATAAACTTTGGATGCCTTGTCCATACCGAGAAACCCTGCAGAGTCATTCCAACATTGGATTCCAATTCTTGCTATAGCTGGGTGTTCTTGGATAACTCATAAAAAAGATATGAAGATGGTTACTCTGCTTCATTGCTTGTCTCCCAACAAGCAATTTTTTTGAGAATTAAACAGGGTGCTCGAATTTTACCTCCTATAACTTACAACCTTTGGACTTTAAAATGGACTTGACTGATATTTGTGAAAACTATCTTTGGAGAACTGATGAAAAACCTTAACCTCCTGATAAGAATGTTTGTCACTCCTCTAGGACATTAAAGCTGCTTCCGCTACTCAGTGGGGGTATCAATGGAAAAAGGATCAAAAACAGAAAAAATGATTATCTCTTATTAGCTCCTGATAGGAAACAATAACTCCCACCCCCTTTTCAGATAATAGTGTTTCTTTTCCAAACCAACTTTTGCATCACAAATTTAAGGATATATTTTTAAAACATGAAATATGAATTCCCCCATCTCTCCTTGGTGGCAAGACTCGTGACAGATAAGCAAAGCAAAACTCATCTCTGCCACTTCACTATATAGTTATAGCACTTCATGCAGAATTTCCCCAGTGCAGAATAAATCTGGTTTACGGAACTCAAAAGACCCCCAAAATTCAAGATAGGTGTTGAGCGAAAGACAAACTATCAACTCCCTATTCTTTGTGTAGAGAACAACTGCTTCAGCTCACAGGTGCCATAGAAAAGTAGCAAGACTTTATGCCTTACTATATTCTGTATTTATTATTGGGATAAGAGGAGAGTTATATGGGTTTTTATTGGTTCAGGTGACATTTCTTGGTTTAGGATGCTGTATACTTTTTGCAATTTAATCTCAGGCAGGCAAATATATTGGGCTGCTCCCATGGCTTAATGCTAGGCTAAATTATGTATCATTTCCTGCGATTTGGGGGAATGAGTGTTATAAAGAATAGATTGTTATGTGCTGGAGACCTCTGTCTTTTATCTTTTTTCTTTTGATTTGTAGATGTCCTTGAAGCAGATAGTACATTATCTAATATAGTTAGCAGAAGACATGGATGTAATTAATTCTTCTGAATCTTATCTTGGTTTATGCATTCAAAGTTTTCCCCGGGGAATTTAGTTCTTTATCTTCACCTGTTTCTCTTGTTTAAACCATCAAGTGGCTGTGACCTTTGATTAAATGTAGCCAATTGTGTTGAATGTCTCATGACTGGTGTGTACTTTGAGCTGTACCAGAAATATAAATACAGTACTGAAAACGGCAACTGGGAGCAGAGAAAGACCCATTACCCAAGGCAGTATGTGGATTTTAATTCTCCTTGCTGGTCTGGAACTTTGTTGGGCTCAGTATAATCCAAATACGTTGCCTGGAAGAACATCTATCGTTCACCTCTTTGAATGGCGTTGGAATGACATTGCTCTTGAATGCGAACGTTACTTAGCACCTCATGGATTTGGTGGAGTTCAGGTAGGTACAGTTTGATGGTAATTTCTGGGAAAGAAGTCTTTGTCTCTGACACAATTTCTCTGATTCCAAGAAAATAAATATTGCATTAAATTGAAATTTCAACAATGTTGACAATAGTGAAGGGCTGTGGAGATTTTTTTCATGGTATAAATCACCAAATAATCTTTCAAGCATGCTGACTCAACTTCCAGGATTTCCCAGTTAGTGTGGCAGTTGCTTAGGATTCTGGGAGTTGAAGTTTATACATCTAAAGAACAATGTAAATGGAGTCAGAAAGGTGCTTTTTTTAAGAGGTGACTGGACTTTCTGGTTTTTTTTTTTTTTTTTGAAGATGTTTCACTTATCCAAGAAGCTTCTTCAGCTCTTGGATGAGAAGCGAAACGTCTTCAAAGAAAAACCAGAAAGTCCAGTTGCCTCTTGAATAAAGTGCCTTTGAGACAACCACAACCTGGATGACTGACAATCTCCATAGACAAATGTGAATGAAGATTCTCAGTCATTCAGGTCATAGTTGTCCCAAAAGTGTTTTTATTTCTCCAAAAGGCAACTGGATTTTGTTTTTTTCCTTGAAGATAATTCACTTCTCATCCAAGAAGCTTCTTTAGCTTTGAAGTCAGAGCTGAAGAAGTTTCTTGGATGAAAAGTGAAACATCTTCAAGGAATAAATGAAGTCCAGTTGCTTTTTTGGGGGGAAAAAACACTTTTGGGATATCTAAAGAACAGCTTGGTTTGGGAAGGACTGGCCAAAATGAATGAACCTTTTGTAAAGACGTGGCAGTGAAATTGTTGCATCAGTTTATTTGTGATGTGGAGTAAATTCGTGTTTTGTTGTACTGGGTGTGTGAAGTTAACATGTTCCTGTAAGTGTTCCAACTGATTTATTAGGCATAACATTTGTAATTCAGATTCTTTTCAAGCATCCAACTAGTTGCTAAAAAGTTGGTTAAATGAAGGCAAATGAATAAGTAGTAAGATGGATACTGGCGGAAAAGTTGTTGCATCAACAGACAATCAGATTGCTGATTTATTCAACATTTATTTTCATTATGGCAATCCAAGCACCTCAGCCACCATTTAATTAAATACTTCATCAATCATAAAGACTTCCTAGCATAACAGGAAAAAAAAGCCATGTTATTTTTAACGGCTACATCATGTACTGTATAATTGGGATTGTGGAAATGAAAGCACTGTAGAGTATTAAAGCTAAGGAATTTTTACTGATGACCATTTTGCTAATGATAATACTCCATCAGATGCTGATTGTTTTACCTTTCCATCCGATGGTAAATATGTTCCCATATTATTCCAAAGAAATAGAAAAATAATGGGATTTATTATTATTATTATTACTACTCATGTAATATAACAAGCTGGACCAGTATTTTAATTTTACTTTCTAAATGAATGTATAGCAAACAACTTACTTTAATGAGTAACATCTAATTTATCATGCTAACATGTTCACTAGAGTTCTGGTCTTCTATATGTTCCTCCAGTACTTTCTTATGAAATTATATAAAATAAAGACACAGCAACGTCTCTAGTTGGCTGCAGCTGACATAAAAATATGCTTCATGTACAATACATCATGTTTATTTTATTACCTCAGTAGAAGTTGCTGTTTGCATTGAAAATAAGGCAGTCAATCTTACTTCATATTCAAAATTTATTGCCGTCCAGTAGAAATCAATGTTTTGTCAAATGAGCAAGCAAGCCTACTGCCCACTTATGATCAAATAATATTCTGAGCATCAAATGGATTATATGTTCTTGGTGTCAAGTAATAGAGGGGAATTCAGAGTGTAGTTCACTCCTGCCGTGAATTAGTCTTCTAGTTAGTTCTCCCAGTTTTCTCCTAATAAATGTTTTATTTGGAAAGGATGGGAAAACTAATTGTGTGAGGGACACATAAGGCATTTTACTGGCTTTTGATTAACTGAAGCAGAATTCATAGGATTTCTAGTCACTCTTTTAAGTTTCTGATTTCAAGAAAAACCATGAACTTGAAGAGGAAAAAGTAAGGAAAGGCTGGGTTTTCTGTACATGGGGCATTTCCAAACTGTTTTTTAGAAGTATTCCTTAAGAAACCCAAGTGCTTTCAAATCAAGGTAAGGATTGTACCATAGAGAATTTGCATAGTTCCATGGACTATGTCAAAAAGTATTTTCAGCCTGCCACTGAGCTACTGAAATAATGCTCTGTGTTGTTGGGTGATGTTATTTAATTCACAGATCTCTCCTCCAAATGAAAACCTTGTCGTTACAACACGGTGGAGACCATGGTGGGAAAGATACCAACCGGTCAGCTACAAGCTCTGTACACGATCTGGAAATGAGACTGAATTTAAAGACATGGTGAACAGATGTAACAAAGTTGGGGTAAGTGATCTGATATTCTGTGTAAGACTTTCGGTTCAAGTTAACTCTGCTTCCCTAATAGTGATACATATTCTTAAATTATAGCTTGCATTCTCTCAAACTAGTGGTAAGACCATCTTCGTTTAATCAATTCAAATGGAATCATTTTAATTTGATTAATTTAGAAAATGGTCTTGAATATCCTACAGTCATCTAATTTAAGATTAGTCCCTTCCAAATAATCACATTCCAGAAAAAATTTTTTGGGGTGCAATAAAATCTAGACTGCCTGAGGTCCTTCTTTCTTTGAATTAACAAAATGAAGACAAAAAGTTACTGGCTTGATTTTAGATATTACTGCTATATAATATGATCGTTTAGCTATGATAATAATGATATTACTGTGATGATTCCATTTGTACATACAGAAACATTCAGCCTGCAAAAATGATAAGAAATGTAATTCATGTGAGTCTCGGTGCTTAGAAATGTAAGGAATCACAAAAATTATATTTGACATAATTAACATTTGACATCAGACACTTGAGTCCATGTTGACTTACTTGTAACGGGAATTGGGAGAACTATGTTTTGGATCATTCCCTAGGAGCCCTGTCTACAAGCTGGGTCTAAATAATACAGGTGTAGTAATGGGAGCTATTTTGGGAACACAAACCAGCCACCAGCTATCTCTAAATTTGGAAAGGAGGGAGGATCAGCAAAGAGCATTCAGAAAGCACAGCATGGGAAAGCAAACTTCATCCTGACTGTGAAATCATCTACTGGTTTTTGTAAATTGTTTCATTGTTTCTCTCTTTATGTCTGCCCTACAAAGGTGAAATGTAAATTAGGACTGGATAGGTTCTGGAGGGACAGATTGATTGCCCTCACAAGCACAAAGTCTTTCATTTGATATCTTTTGAAAGTGATGCTTCCAGCGTACAAAGCTCAGAACGGTACTTTGGCAAATCAGTGTGGGAAAGAATTTATCATTGGGAACGGGGCACCTGCCAAGAATGTGGTTTGCATGCCTTTAACTGAGCCTGGGGCACAGATGGTATCATTCGAAGGGTAGTTGAGTAGCTTCCAAGGGTAGTAATAGAAGCCCAAGGGAGAAAGTGTTCCTAAGATAGGTTGAATATAAGCAATTTGCAAATGTTGCAGCATCTTGAATTATATCAGTAAGAGAGTGGGAATATGCAATTATAATACCTTACAATTGCATAACAACACTTCCAAATGTTTACATGTGTTGTTACTTAGTTATCTTTACAATCGATTAACTATTAATATCCTCCTGTTGTAGTATCCAAACTGCCTTGAGAAAATGATTTTCCAATTAAGGCCAAATTGTGAGTGCAAGTATCGATTTGGAGACTTTCTGATCTATAGTTTATAAGGGAATTTGAGTCTCATTTTTGTTAAGCTACACTTTTAATTCCAATGGACTAGAAATTAATGTGTTTTTTCACAAACCACAGAATATCTATCTTGTTCGTGACTAAAGAAAAAGATGAAGACCAGGTTCATATGACATTGCCACAGAACAGTGTTATGATGTCACAGGACGATGTCATCGTGACATCACTGTGGGATGGGCATGGATTTTATAATATGCATGGTGGTCTTAGGAAGCGCTTAGTGGTACAGTGACCCAGAGGTGGAGCTCTCACCTCACAATCAGGAGGCTGTGAGTTCGGTTCTAGGTAGAGGCAGACATTTTTCTCTCTGTGCATGATGGAGATATATCTACTGAATATCGCTCTGCGTTGGTGACAGGAAGGGCACCGGCCAGTAAACACTTAGCTCCATTCAGTCGCCCAGACTCCACCCTATAAGGGATTATGGGGTTCTTAAAGAAAGATGATGTCTCAGGACGCGCTTGATGTCACTTCGCTCCCATGCCCCTAGAACAGAGCCTCCTTTCAACTTGCTTTAATCTGATCAACTATTCTCTGCTCAGGTATACATTTATGTGGATACTGTTGTCAACCACATGTGTGGAGCTGCTGCTGGATCTGGCCACCATTCTACATGTGGAAGCTACTTTGATTCACACAAGCACGATTTTCCTGCTGTACCATACTCTGGATGGGATTTCAATGACTGGAAATGCAGAACCGCCAGTGGAGAGATAGAAAATTACAATGATCCTGACCAGGTATTTTTCTGAATTCATTAAAAGGTAGTCCTCGACTTACAACCACAATTAAGCCCAAATTTCAGTTGCTAAATGAGACGTTTGTTAAGTGAGTTTTGACCCATTTTACGACTTTTCTTGCTGCAGTTGTTAAGCGAATCACTGGAGTTGTTAACTTGGTAACACAGTTGTTAAGGGAATTGGGCTTCCCCAGAGACTTTGCTTGTCAGAAGGTCACAAAAGGCAATCACATGACCTGGGATCATGCAACCCTCACAAATATGAGTCAGTTGCCAAACGGTTGAATTTTGATCACGTGACCATAGGGATACTGCAGTGGTCATAACTGAAAAAGAGTCCACAATCACCTTTTTCAGTGCTGTTGTAACTTCGAATGGTCACTAAATGAACTGTTGTAAGTCAAAGACTACCTTTATATGTATATTCTGTTCTTTATTTTTTAAATGATTGAAACAGTGATGCCCAGTGAGACTGCATTTGGACAGCCTCATTCTTAAGCCAGGTTTCTGGCAGTTGTAGATAGAATGCAAACACCCTAGAACAATATGCTGATCTTTCATGAGTTTATTATTTTAATTTTAATTTTAAAATTGATTTGTATCCTGACTTTTTTATTTTTTACAAATAGCTCAAGGTAGCAAACATATCCAATAAATCTTCCTCCTCCTATTTTTGTTCACAATAACAAACCTGTGAGGTAAATTGAGTGAAGAGTCTCTATGGGCGAATAAGTAGCAATATAAATTCAATAAATTCAGTAGATAAATAGATAGATAGATAAAGATAAATAAAATAAATATGACTGGCTCAAAGTCACCCAGCTGGCTTTCATGCTAAGACAGGACTTGAACTCACAATCTCCTGTTTTCTAAGGTGCCTTTGTGCCTTAACCACTAGACCAAATTAGTTCAGTATTTCACAGGATTTAAGCTTGAGTGTCACTATGACAATGGACGCATGAAAGTAGATACAAGTAAAATTCATGTATGCATGTGTGTGTGGTTTACTAGAATTATATGTAATCTGAGCAGAAGAATAAAATTTGTCAAAAATCAATTAGGATTTCTTGGGCAGAATCTTCCATATTGGCTGTGAGCTATATAAAGATGCAAGCATTTCTGGGTCCCAGTGCCCCCCATTTGAGAGCTGTGGCTGGGCTTGGATGTGTCCTTTTCAGGAGGACTACGAAAATATAACTGACCAGTTTTGCTTTCATGTTCACTTAGCTATAACTTCTTCTGTCATCCAAACTGACAACATATGGTTAACATGAATGACAGTTTGAGCCATGAAACTGACTTAAAGTAGTAAATACTGACCACAGTTTATGAGTTAGATGAAATCATAACTTCTGGTAAATGCATAGGTAAAGGTTTCTTAAGTTTTATTTGTTGTGGTAAAGATGATTAAAGGTGCAATTAAGGCTTAGCTAGACTGGATCTTTCCTTGCGAAATAGCGGGTCAGAAATCTGTGGACTGCATGTGGTTCCTGTGCCACATTAGAAGTCTTAACAAAGTAGAAAGGGCAGATATTTGCACCTGTGGTTAGAGGAATTTACAAAATTTATGATTTAAGCCTTGCAAGGAGATTGATTCCAGGTCCCTTTTTTACGCTCCTTAAAAACACACTATTCTCACCAATGCCAGGCTATTTTTTTACCCATGTTAAGGGGAATTTAAGGGGCAAAATGTGTTATTTAAGTCTCTGCCAGCTTGCTCATTAAACCTTCCAGCACCGCCTTCCAAAATTGACAAACCTTTTCTTTCTCCTGTTCATTCTGTGATCACATCTTTTTTCAGTGCTAGGTCTTACATATGACATCTCTCTCTCTCTCTCTCTCTCTCTCTCTCTCTCTCTCTCTCTCTCT